CCCCTGGGAGGCATGTGTCCCCCAGATTTGTGCACAGGGAGAGGGAGGGCTGCCCACTGTGGGCTCAGTCTCTTTGCAGAGGGGGGGCTAGGCTGAGGCAGTGGTCAGGGCGGGCTCAGCTGTGCAGGGTGGGCGGCGGTGGCGATGCTGGAGGGGTGGCTGTGAGGGGGGTGCTAAAGGGAATTTGGGGGTGGCCATAACAATAGTACCGGATTACTGCGCAGTACTGTCACCAGTTTTTTTCTGATGTTACTGTGCAGTAGCTCGCTACTAGTGCGCAGTAGTGTCGCATCACAGTTAGTGCCAGGCAATGCTAGTGTGCGGTCGCAATGATGCACTCACTGTCTAGATAAATTCAGCTCCTTGTCCTTGGGTTCTGCGATTAGCACGTGTTCCCTTAACCCACCACATACAAACTATTCTTGGAAACTCTCTCTCTTCCCAGTTAATTTTGAAAGACCCACACAAACTACAGAAGAAAATGAGTTAAAAACCACTACACACACACACACACACACACACACACACACACACACACACACACACACACACACCCACCCACCTTGGCTAAGGACAAAAGTTACATATAAACCAGTAAAAGTGATTAGAAACCAATTCAAATCTGTAACACAACAGAAGTTCAGTGCACATAAACTGCTTTCAAAATGGCCAAACCCAGTTTAAGATACATCTGGATAGATGTAGTATCAGAATTAACTGATTTAGGTTAAATTGGTTTATTGAATTTCTGTCCCACATCCCCTCCAGATTTAAGTTAAGTTAACTCACAGTCCCCCAGCATCCCAGGATGCTTTGCATCTCCCTCTCAACCCGCTCTTGCAGGGTGGGTAGGCTAGCTTTGCCACAAACTGTCTGCTCCAGCTGACCAGAGAAGCATGCTCTACTGCCCCCCAGCTTCTGGCCTGAGCCACTGCAGGTATATGGCTGCATTTCCGAATCAAAAGTGAATGTCTGTTCACTTGTTTATCCGTTCAATCTATGCAGCTTAGACTAACCTGTGAAGACTGAATTGATTCAGCCTTGGGCTTTTTGACTCTCTGTCAAAAGGGCAAGGGAAACACTGAAAAAAAAAAAATTAGTTTGCCTGTTAGTCATTTCAGCTTCATAGACTCCAAGGCCAGAAGAGACCTCTAGGACCATCTAGTCTGACCTACAGTATCCACACACCACAGAATCTTTCCAAGATGCTACTAGTGAAAGTAGATTAAGAAATCTGTCTACAAAATTTTGAAGTTGCACATTCCTTTAAATGTCCTTAGCCCAGCCGACAGAAATGGAACTTGGTGAACGGAATGTTAATACCCCTCAAGGAAATACGGGAAGTTGATCATCTAATCAGTCCTTCTTTCTCTAAAAGTGTGTGTGTAAATAGCATGTGAAAAGATGCTATACTAAATGCCACAAAAATGTACTATAACATCCACACTTTTAAATACAAACTCCCTTTTCATTTGGCTTGGAAGAAAGCACATGTCCATGAACTTTGGCACCTTTATGGGAATACTGTTAAATCTGCCAGAGACCAAATTTTATGTAGCTCAAGGATTGAACATTCGCTAACATAAAGCAAAATTTAGTTTTGCCCTTTTCTATCATTTCTGATAAAATGTTAAAAAAAAAAAATCAAACCATAACTCCATACTATTAGCTTCAATGCAGCAAAATTCAAACTATGAAAAAACATGCCCTGCTATATTCAGACACACATCTGCACTTACAGAGAACTCTGCAAATTGTAGGAAGGAAATTGGCATCCCTGAGCAGAACAGTGAATATAATGCAGATTCACTTACTGGCTTTTATTCTTACCTTGAATATATAAACTGGAAGGAAGCCAGACTCCATTGAGCTCTTGAACTGATCAATTAATACCGACTCAATGGAGCAGAGACTGGAACTCAAGTCTACCCTTTCTTAGGTGAGTGCCCCAACTACTAGACTATGGAGTCATACCCACTCATTCCACTTCTTTGGCTCAATGAATATATAAATTATTCCATACGATTGGAACAAGTTTTACCAGGAAGAATTGAAAGAGCACCCCCCCAGAATATCCTGTGGCCTAGCAGACTGGGCATTCACCTGCCAGCGCGATGCTGGTTCCAATGCCCTGAGGCAGAGGAAAGAACTAAACCTGCAACGTCACTGTAGATTGAAGGGAAGCACCCAAGTCCAGAGAGGTATAGGCTTAAGACACACCCTCTGCTCATGGTTTCCTATGGGTCAGCTTGAACAGCTCCCCACTAAATGGGCTAGCTTATGTGGCTCTTATTCCTAGGTACCTAAATCTCCCACTTTATATATGGAACCAAGGCATCTAACTTGGGGTGCAGGCTGCACTAGGTGACAAAGGGCTCCTATAAATGTGCGGGAAGCCTGCTCCAAAGCAGTGAAAATCCAGCACGTCAGAGCTGACTCGATTAATTGAGTCTGCCGGAGCACAGAAACTGATGCATCCTGGCAGCATTCTGCATCATGCGTATGAGCACCCGTGTGTTTCTGAACTGAAAAAATGGCACCGGGGCACTTTGAAATAGAACATGTTCGATGAGCTTTAGTTCAAAGTGCCCCACCGCCATTTTTTCAGCGAGGGGACACTGATACACGTGACATGTGGACGCTTTGAATTAGCGCAGCTCACTAATTAAAGTGCCCAGCACTGCGTCCCACAGCCTGTGTAAAAATGCCCGAAGTGCCTGAAAGAAAGAGGTTGTCAGTCATGTCAGGCTACAGACAGATGTTCAGTTTTTACTTCGGGGAAATTGCTATTCTCCCAATAGAAACTATAAGTGTGCAGATGGACTTAATAGATTTCTAGGGTCAGAAGGGACCTATTAGATAATCAAGTCCGACCCCAGCCAGGTGCCTGTCTAAACTCTTTTTAAATGCCTCCAAGGTAAGGGAGAGCACCACCTCCCTTGGAAGCCCATTCCATATTTTGGCAATCCACACTGTAAAGAATTTTTTCCTGATGTCCAATCTAAATCTACTCTCCTTCGGTTTATGGCCGTTGTTTCTAGTAACCCCAAGGGGCGCTGTGGTAAACACAGTATCCCCTATTCCCTGCTGACCCCCTCTGATGAGATTGTAGACAGCTGCAAGATCACCTCTCAGCCTTCTCTTGTATAGACTGAAGAGATCCAGGGCCCTCAATCTGTCTTCATAGGACCTTACCTGCAGGCCCTCAGCCATATGAGTAACCATACGGGTAGCCCTCCTCTGAATCCTTTCCAGGTTATCCATATCCCTGCTGAAATGCAGAGCCCAAAACTGGACGCAGTACTCCAGACCTTCAAGCTTTTTCTCACAGAGCAAAAATGGCTGCTTGGGAGAAAAACAACCCCAGAACAACCAGGGTTAAACCGCTCCTGGGAGAATTTCTGAATATCTGCACACTTTCCCCCAGTTTAACTCCTCCTAGGGTCACAGATCTGGAGAAGGCGCAGGGATCAGCTGCTCCCATCCCTCTAACAGAATGCTCCCTACCCGCTTCTTATACACCGGAGGTCCCGGTGAGAAGTGGGCAGGGGCTTTTCTGCAACACTCCCTTTGCTTGGCTGCTGGGCACCGGGAGCCGAGCACAGAGAGCAGGGCTGTCTGTTGCTGTCCTTGCCAGTTTTGCCTTGCCCTCCACCCCTCTCTGCCCCCCTACGCCCCCAGCTCAGCTGAGCAGAAGGGGAAGAGGAGAAAAAGGAAGTATGGAGGGACCAGGCTGGGGAAAGTCTTCCCCAGCTCAGGTTCCTGCCTAGTGGACTTCTATAATGCCATCCCTGCTAGGTGGCAGGAAACTGGATTCAGGGAGGCTCTTCCTGTGGTAGTGAAGCCCTAAATGTGAAGTGGATGGGGGCTTTGCCTAAGGTTTGCAACTCTCCAGGATTACCCTGGAGTCTCCAGGAATTAGATATAAATCTCCAGGAGATTGCTGAGAGTCACCTGGGAGATAAACGATAAAGCATTCATTAAACTAAATATTAAATGTTGAATCCAATTTATATAGTAGCCCAGTGGGGTTTTAAAATGTAATACTAACGTGAATTTGCCTTCCTGATGTAAAGTCAGCGCCCCATAATCCATAACTGATCTACATAAGCACATGGGTAAATTCACATTGTGTGTCGTGGGCACACTGACGTTCCAGAAGCCTCCTGGAATAGATTTAAACAGAGTTGGCAATCCTAGTTTTGCCCCACTGCTTCATCCCCAGGCCCTTGTGTGGAGCAGGTGCAGGGTGTCTTTCCTGGGGAATAGGAGGAGTGAAGCAGGCACCGCTCCCCTCACTTTCTCCAGACAAGAATCACCCAGGTCTCAGGAAAGCACAGGAGTAGAAGAGAGGGGGCAGTTGCAGACTGAATGTTTGCAACTGCTCCCTCTCCTGGAAGGATTTCTAGTAGGGGCAATTTCTCAGAAAATTTTCCCCAGCAGAAGCGAGTACCTATTTGTGGCCTTAGCCCAGTGGTTTTCAATCTGTTTTCATTTGTGGACCCCTCAAAAATTTCAAAAGGAGGTGTGGATCCCTTTGAATTTTAAGTGCAGGAATTCACATATTTCTGATTGATCATAATTGTCTTTCACGGACCCCTTAGGCATAGTCTTCAGACCCCCAGAGATCCACGGACCACAGGTTGAAAGCCACCACCTTAGATGGAAGCCAGGCAGAAGGCAGAGATAGATTAAAGTGTCTAGTTGCATTTCGTAATGCTGAGCATATGGGCACTTAAGCCATTCTAAAGAACAAGTCCTATAATCATGCTAACAAGTGTGTACACATGATTATGACTAGCAGTATTGCAACATAGTTTCCGCAAACAGTGTAGACTAAATTTTTCTTTCCAGAACAGTGCAAGTGAAACTACTCAAACGGCTACATTCCCTATTTGACCTTGCCTTATGTAGTCTTAGCATAGTTTTAAAATAGGACTAAAAGCCAGCTTGCAGATAAAAGATCTCCATCTACAATGAGAATACCATGCTAGAAACATAAGCACAAACTACCATGTTTGTACACAGCTGTACATATCAGGATACCTCAGCTTCTAACACAAAGCTCAGTGAAGTCAGCCTCTCTAACACAACAATTTATGCCCACATAGGAACAATGGTACCACTCCTCCTCCCCTGTCTTATGAACTTCTTTTAATTACTTACTTAAGATAAATTAAATTATTCACCATTCTCTCAGGATTCTTTATATAAATCCTCTCTACCCATTAGAGCATTGAATGTTAATTGTATAAATCTAGATGTGAAAACTTACCATACTGCTATTGAGATTCTTATCAACTCTGCAAAATGTATGTGGAGGGGTTTCTCCTTTACTTGGTATAATTATGCATATATCTGTGACAGCCAACATATTCTGGATCATGTTTTCTGATGCTCTTCGATAGGTAATATACACTCTTTGCGACGAAGCACCGCCACTAATGTTAGCAGGACGACCGTATGAAGTGGCTTGAATGATTTCACAGCCCTGTTTTACTCTCTCTTTCCCATCATATAATACCCTAGATAAAGAAAAAAAAAATTAATTGCTTAAAATGATAATTCCTTAAAAGTGCAACAAATATTGAACCAAAATTATGACTGAAAACAATCAATTAATAGGCAAATCTTGTCTGCTGCCAATCAGACTGCATTTTTATTGAAAGAAAAAGTTACTTCAGTTCAAAGCTTGGTGGAACAGGCTAATTTCACAATGACGCTAGCCTCTCATTTTCTGTGTGCATCATTACTGATTTCAGTCACTAGTAAGTGCGGACTCTATAGCAAAATCTCTCATAGTATTGTACCTCTGCTCAAAATTTGTTAACTTACCATTATGATTTTGAGAAGGAAGCCGTTCTGACACTCGGTCCTGTGAGCTGGTCACTGAACACCTTTGATTCTCTTTTCAATCCCTATTTCAGCTTTGCTGGATAACCCAGGGCATGTCACCTAACTTGTATTCTATTTTATACGTGGGAAAATTGAGGTAACACCATCAGAAATTCTATCTGAAGAATACGTCTGATGGGTATTTTTGTAAGTGATTTCCGATGAAAGCAATAAGGACAAAAATGGTTATTGCCCTCTGTAACCAAGATCCAAAGGCTATTTGGTATTGTTTTTTTTCCTACAATTTGGGCTCTTACCCAACCCCCAGTACAGTCAGAAGAACTCCTTCCATTTGAGGGCTTTTGTTTCAAGTTCCATTTTCACAAAACCCAAATTCTAATGGAATCTCCGTCCTTGGAGGTTTTTAAGCCTGGCTCAACAAAGCCCTGCTGAAATGATCTAGTTGGGATGGTCCTGCTTTGAGCAGGGGGTTGGGTTAGATGCGTCCAACCCTCATGTTCTATGATTTTGAAGTTACTAGAATCAACATCATTAATCAATATTGCTCACCCAAGATCAGTAAGCGGAGGCTTGTCCCTTCCTCTCCGGTAACAAAGGTATATCTGTGGCCCCACAAGACTCCCATTATTGAGATCTGCCGATAGTCCAGATGGTGTAACATCGATGCATTTGTATCCCTCAGGCACTTCCTCCCCCAGAGATTTAATAATTACGGTCACATCAGTGATAGGTTCTTTTGGTTTAGCAATTTTATGGCAAGCATCATTGAAGTGAATTTCTTCTTCCAGTGGTTTTGAAGTATCTGTCAGTCCTGCTACAACAAAGTAGTCGGCAACACGAGCTCCTTTGTCTTCCATCTTCCATTACAGAAAGTCGTGCCTGGTAAATAATAAATATGCAGACCAATGTTTTTGAAAACAGAAAATACTAGGATATACCAGATCCTCACATTAAGCAATAAACGCAAGCAGTATATCTCTTTATAGTTAAAATTAAGTTGTGTATCATAATGTAGATTACGTTCTAAGAAGGACTACTGTCCATCAGCTACTGTACCGTCTTTCATTCCCATTACCAGCATGCAACACTTAAAATTCGAGCAACATTATTTCTATACTGATCTTGGCTCTCTGAAGCAGATTTTTTTTTCTCCTCTAAGGAACGGCAAATCCATATGGCCTCCTTTTGTTTACTTACATACTAGAGCACCAGCATCAGCAGTGACAGCAAGAATGTGCACAATTGGGGGAATAGCTTGTTAGTTAAAACTTGCCATCAAGCCAAATGGCTGTGCGCATATATTTAGCATATGCTCACGTTTCGGTATGCACCATGGGAGAGGGGTATTTTTGTGTAATCTGCAATTAATTTTCAAACATTTAAGACTCTGCATGTGCTGCACTGTATTCTATTTTTATTTACAAGCATACAGTAGGAATGTTTATAGCCATCTCATCTTATACTTTGAACAAGTCAGATCTAATAAAGGGAACCAAAGTTGAGACATGACCTGCCAGAAGTATATGGTGTGCTAAGTGGTGCTGATTCAGTAACAAGTACAGTTCCTTAGGGTGAGTACTCACACAATGCCCTAGCATACAATTAGAGTCACTGTGCAGCTGGAGACGTCAGCTTCTGAATGAAATTTAAAACCAAGACCACCTCCCCCTGTCCTTTAATGATCAAATGGTCAATATAAAAAATTAATCAAGATCACATGGGTCTTTTCATAACCATGGGGGATCACTAATTGTGCTGTTCTGGCCAACTTCCAATTTGGGAAATTGCACTCTTTCTTCCTAAAATCCCTCCTGTAATATCAGCTGGATAGGGAATTGTTCACATCTGGTCCCAGTTAATTTTGTACAGTGTTACTGTGCAGTTTAATGGATGGCTGTCATTTTCCACTTTGGTAATGTAGCTGAATTTCAGTGCAAGATGAAACGATCCCTGTTGTGATCTAAGGATGGCCCTGATATTAAAATAGAGGGCTAAATGTCAGAGATTCATTTCCAGTCACAGCTTTGCTGGAAAGTGCTGTATAACTTTGGAGAAGTCATCTGACCACTCTGTCTCTCATTTTCTCTAACTGCAAAATAAAGATATTAAACACTATCTGAAATGTTACACGATTTTATTACAAAACTTTGGGAAACTACCTACAAAATATATTCAAGCAAGATCATGCTAGAAACCATACAATGCATCACGGAAAACTTTTCAAGAACTAGACTTCTGCTGCTGCATCTTGAGCTTCTGAAAGCAGATGCGTTTTGAAGTTTCTCAAGCTTCCTTTAATTTTTCTGAACTAAGTTTGTTAGAGTCAAAAGCAGCACTACCGAACTGGGAAGGTACTGCTGCGAAGAGTGTGCTAGTAGTCAGTTAAGTATAAAACCCAGAATAAAAACATAATGGCTGGTATTAACTTGATTTTTTTACCTGTCAGCTATCGCTCTTTTGCCTTGATTTTCATTTTCTGTGCTACAGTACAGGAATCAAGCCTCAGGCTGCAATGTATCCTGGTTCTTCCTAGCAAACTTTAGCTAATCCTACATTTGTTTTGCTTGGAAGCAAGGAATGTGTGTCTGAAGTTGAGACTGTACCCCAGATGGCTAAAGCTCTTGGTTATCAGGGGAAGAATACCCCTTATTCACTACCCACCAGACCAGGGGTAGGTAACCCCCGGCATGGATGCCATAGTGTGGCATTGCAAAAGCATTTTGCTTGGCACGCACACCTTGGAGTAGACGGCGGGGAAGAGGCCAGGGCCACACTGCAACAACAAGGATCGGGCCCCTTGCAGCTCCCCTGCCATCTGCCCCTGGCATGCCCAGCATGTTACAAGTCCAAGGTGCGGGTGTTTTTGGCACTCTGCCAGCTCCTGCACCAGACCAAAAAAGTTCTTCTTCTTCTCTCATGTCTGTCTGCTTTTGTCTAGAGCTGTGGTTCTCAACCTTTTTCCTTGGGGCTGGATCCGATGATCTTCTGAGGTCCCTTCCAGCCTTACAATCTATGAATACTGGGACCCAGTTGCAAAGATCCATGGCCTGTCCCAACCCGCACCCCTGGGGCATGCTGGTGTCTCTCGCTCCTTACCTGCAGCTGCCTGCCCTTCCACCCCCCCAGCAGCGAATCCAGGCCGCCCTGCCCTGGCAAGCACGGGCACCGGCCATGGTGCCGCCAACCCAGCCATGCAGCTCTTCCCCCCACTGGTCTCCTTCCCCTCTGGAAGAGGCAGGAGCCTTCCCACCAGCCCTCTGCCCCACCACAGCTCACGACCCTTCAAAATATTCTTGCGACCGACTTCTGGGTCATGACCCACAGGTTCAGAAACTCTGGTCTAGAGCATTTGACTCAACAACAAACTTAACATTGGATGGAACTCGACAGCTTTTTGGTTTCAGTATCATTTTGCCATTAAAAAAAAAAAAAAAGCTGGTTGAAATGTTCCTTGTATCCTTAATAACTGAAGTGGAACAGTTTAAAACAAGTGATTGTTGAAAAACTGACTGAGAGTATTAGAAAGATCTTAAGTGGAGTACAAAAGATAACATCTAAATACCTTTATGACAGCTAGAGAGATCCTGTCCTCTCAGAGGATACAAAAAGCAATGCCTTTTAGTTCTACCTTCAGGATTAAAATGAGAAAAAACAGAAGCAGGTATCTGAAGTAAATAATGGTATCTGGAAAAATGACAGTGTTGTTTTGGTAACAGTATATGAATGTAACGTGATAATGAGCTCAGTCAAAATTTGAAGTACTATATTTGAGGACCTACAAGTTCAACAATAATGTATTGGTACTGTATATCAGGATATATGCCCTCTGCAGAGCAGGCTAGCCACAGTGAGAAAGGATGGGGCAGAGAGAGAGAGAGAGAGAGAGAGAGAGATTTATAGCAGCGTCTCTATTCTGTCCAAACACTAACAGTCCAAACACAAACACTATTTGAAGCTAATACACTAATAAATAAATAAAAGTACGAAATATTTCTCAGTACTACCATCCTTAGCAAAACTCACCTACCATACATCAAATTTACACTGTCATGAAAAACTTCCCCCAATGCCATCAGCAGCCACTGAATCAATGAATGAAAAATTACAACAGATTTCTTTTAGCTGAAGTACAGCGCATAAATATCTGTTTCTATCAGCTTAAAAAGATGCAGCACAGCTTATTCAGTTGCTTAAAAAAAATTAAATCAATACATTTGAGAGTGCATTGACAAATGTATCAGAAAGAAAATGAATGTTTCATAATGGAGATCGCAAATTAATGGTGATCATAGGCCGCCTGTCAGCTAAACAACAGAAAGTATTTCTTAA